GAATTTACGATCTGCGTCTGCTATTTGGCGACCGTTATCGTCGCATAGCAAACTTTAATGTAAACCAAACAGCATGTCATCTTTGACAGTGCTCTGTTGTTTTGTTCATATAACCACTCGGATGTTATCTCATGTGAGCCTAAATCTTATATCGACGACCAATATCATAAAGAAATATCCAAAGATTGGACAGTCTTTGCCTTTATTTTCTCTTGAACCTAAAACTAATATAGGACGGTTGGAGTGGCTCATGTTAAAACCTAACAGACATTCATTTTCTGTTACATTTAACAATATATATATATATATATATATATATATATATATATATATATATATAAAATAAAAAAACATCATCCAGTCTAGAAGAAGCCTCAAGAGAATGCAGAAAGCACTAGGACGGCATATTCGACCTATATTTGTGACTCATCAGCGGTGCGCATCCACTACCGAGAATTGAAATCCGGAAAATTACGTTATCATGCAAACATCATACCAATTGTACAAACGGGCCTCGGTGACGAAGAGGCAACGAATTAGACTCTATATAGCGCCGATCGATCACCTATTCCGTGGTGGAACTCAGCCGAGTTCCTATTTTACCCCTAGGATGGTGCCCCCACGAGCCACGACTACTATCACGACTACTATCATCCAGAGTATTTAAAGCCGGTTCAAGCAAGGATATTCAAGTGATAGAAATTAGGAGGATTTGAGATAATTATCATTCATCGAGTCTAGAAGAAAACTCAACAAAATGCAGAAAGCACTGGACGGCCGTTTCATTTGCAGTGCGCATCCATAAGTGAAACCCGGACAGGCAAACGTCATACCAATTTGACAAACGGGCCTCGGTGACGAAGAGGTAGCGAATCAGACTCGATATAGCGCCGCTCGATCATATATATATATATATATATATATATATATATATATATATATGCAAAGAAAGATATGCCTCCGGACTGGAATAAGAAATAATGCCGGATTCATTCATTTCTTAAATATTGAATTGTGTCACCTCATGTCCATGAACTTGCCTGACATTTCCGTTAACCTGATGAATGTTTCTCTATATTTGTAAATATAGGTATATTACACATATTCTTACCACAAAATAAAAGCCTTATATTTGTCTTGATACACACCAAGATATGTTTTCCTCTCGTATATATATATATATATATATATATATATATAGTCATCCATTTACAAAGCTGTTTCGCTGTATCACAGCTTATCAGTGTGGCTAGACTTCTGATTGTCTCAAACCGGGATCAAAACCCGACGGATTTGGCATCATAGATTCGACCCACAGGTTATCGTCGCACGGCTGAGCGGAAGGGAAATTTTAACGTTTGTATTATGCGAGTGATGTCAGTAACTAGGAGAGTTGGATTCGAGATGATATTATATGAAAAGATTACTTAACCTTTGAAATATCAATTTTATCTCGCGATCGATGTTTCTTAACAAAATTTCCAGTCATCAAGGTTAGTGGTTTTGACCAGTATTTCCAAATTTTTTATATATATATATATATATATATATATATATATATATATATATATATATATACACACAGTGTGTGGAAAGAAGTATTCGTACACATACAATTTTTTTATTTATTGTATTTACAACTAATGAATAAACATACTTTTCATTTAATTAACTGTACACAGATGCATAAAAATAAATATGCATAGAAAACAAGAAAATTGATTTAGTAAATGTAAATCCCATTTATCCATTTTTATGGGTGAAAAATTTTTTTATGGAAGACATAATCTTCATTTAATACTTTGTAGAATAGCCATTATTTACTTCTATAACAACCAACCTCATCTTGTATTTCTCAATGTTTTGCAAATTTTATTTGGTATTTTGTTCCATTCTTCTTCGCATATGATCTTCAGAGCCGGGATGTTTGTTGGAGCTCTCAATTGGATTTGAATTTTCAAATAACGACAGAGATTCTCATTTGGGTTTAAATCTGGGGACTGACTTGGCCATTTCAGCATATTTACATTATTTTCAGCGAACCACTTCTTCGTAGATTAGGTTTGTGCTGAGAATCATTATCTTGTTGGAAGATCCAATCAGGACGACTTTCAAGATTTTCAACCAAAATCATTAAATTTGCTTCCAAAATATTTTCATATGCTGCGGCATTCATTCTACTATCTATTACTTATATGATGCCATTACCATTTGCGAAAAAAAAAACATCCCAAACTATAATGCTGCTATCACCAAATTTCCTTGTTGCAACTGTATTCTTTTGTTTGAAGGCACTGCCGTTTTTCTCCAAATATGATTTCTAGAATTACGCTCAAACAACTCAATCTTAGTTTCGTCTATCTATAATACTCTTTCCCAGTACGATCTTTCCTTATCTTTATGTTCACGAACGAATTTCAACCTGGCATCTCTGTATCTTTTAAATAGTAGTGGAGTTATCCGAGGGCAGTGTGACTTTAGATTGTTCCTGTGAATTTCATTGCTTATTGCCTATTTTTGTGGCAGATTCCTGGTAAAATCAAATCGTCCTGCAACTCTTGACAAGTAACCATCTTATTTTGTTTAATTTGACGCATTAATTTCTTCGAAGATCTTGAAGAAATCTTCTGTGGTGTGTCTGTTCTTTGGTTTTCGACAGTTTAAGTTTTTATACCTTGCAATGAATGAATTAATGGTAGTAAATGAAATATTGAGGTTGTCCGAGATTTTTCTATAACTTTTACCAACTTTCCAGTGATTAACAATCAGTTGTATTTGTGAATTTGTCAATTCTTTACCTCTTGCCATGATGATAACCTTTTTGCACGAATATCAAGTGCAAAATATTCTGTTTCTAAATTTAGTCTAAAAATAACTACTGATAACATTATTGGAACATTCTAGAATATTCCGTTGAATAATGTTTTAAAATACAAAATTTGCATTGTACGTATACTTTTTTCACCCATTAAAATGAAGAAATGGGTTTTAATTCTATTAATCATTTTTTCTGCTTTCTATGCATATTTAGTTCTTATGGATCCGTGTACATTTAATTATAAGAAAAGCATTTTTATTCATTAGTTGTAAATAAATAAATTAAAAATTTGTATTTGTACAGATATTTATTTCCCCGCACTATATCTATCTATCTATCTATATATATATATATATATATATATATATATATATATATATATATATATATATATATATATATATATATATATATATATATATACTTATTCCTCTGTGGCATTCTGTCTTGGTAATTTTAAATTTAAAGCATATTCTGTCCATGTTGATAACATCATTTTTGACCCGTTTATAACGTAAGTAAATGCGTAAAGCCGCTTTATATATATATATTATATCGACTGATCCCTTTTATTAATCATTTATTGAATATGTAAAATTCACCAGTTACCAGAGTGAAACACTTTATTTTATGTTCTTCTTGACTTCCCCTGTTTATATTCTTTCTAAAGTTTATATTGTATACCTTGGGTATTGTTCACAGTGTGCTATGTATATTATGTGAGCTTTCGTTGCATAAAGTCTTATAAATGCCATGTTATAGGACATGAAAGCGTTGTAGTAAGGTGACCGATGTGCAGGTTAGAAGTTTTTGTTTATTATAACTGGATATATAATCTAATGGGCACGGAATTATTTTTCTTACAATTTTTTTTTCTCTGGAAAAATAAGGCTTGCGAATAATTTACTCGGAAAGCTTTTAACTTTCAGATTGGCTGAAATGTTGCATCACAAGTCATTGAAAAAGTTCGAGAAGAAAGTAACAGAACAAATTTATAATATTGGTTGCCATAAATATTTTATTCGTAGATGCGTATACATGTAAACTTATATATATATATAAATATATATGTATATATATGTACATATAGGTGCACACATATATGTAGGTGAGTGGGTTGGTGATTGGCTGAGTGGGTTTGTTTATTTATGTGCATAGTTTTGTGCGTGTATGTGTGTCTCCGATGCAAATTCGACAATATATTTTGGTATTCTCGGAATGCGTGCATGTATGTGCGTAAGAGAGAATGACTGTGGAGGTTTTCTTGTGGTCTTTGCATAACTGTATCTACGTGAAAATGAAACGGTGACGATGTAGCGCCTAGCAAAATTAAGCATGTGTTTTGGAAAGTTTTTTTTTTTTTGTGTGTGTGTGTGTGTGAGATAATATATGTGCGTATTAATACTTGACTGTATAATTTTGCTTGTAAACAAACATGTATTTATGAGATAATTTTTGACAGTATAAGTGTGCGTGCTTGCATGCGTGCCCATTGAAATGTGTTTGTATGCGTCTGTGTGGATGAATATGTGCTTGCGTGTCGGTAAGATTTGGAAAATAAATAATATATCAAAAAAAAAAAAAAAAAAGAAAAAAATGACACACAATATAACTTATACTTCCTCTGCTGGTAACCCCAGAGCAGAGTCAATAAATTACAGACAAATTATTATCAACATTATGCACACAGGGAATGGAGGCTTCGTATGAGGCAGGGTGGGAATACAAAAATAAAATTTGACCAATAAATAGTTGCATTGATAAAAAGCGAAAAAAAAAGATAAAAGCTGGAGTTTAAAATCATGTTTCTTTTTATATATAAATAACAACTGGAGAAAAAATGTAAACAAACAGATTTGACTAGAATTTCTACGCTGACTAGTATAATGTCTTTACCAATCATTAGACAGGGAGGACCATTCTACAGTCAGAGTGTCACGTGACAACGATTCTGAGTGTCACGTGACTGGATTTCTTTGGTAGGTTGATTATGAAGGAGAACTATATTTAAAGCTTCGGATACTCCTTTACTGCTTGCTTCATCTTTTCTTCTCTTTTTATATCTTTTTTTTATGATATACATATATATATATATATATATATATATATATATATATATATATATATATATATATATATATCTTTATCTTTTTTACTTCGGCGTGTATTCGTCACTTCAGCCTTATGCTGTCTGTAACAAAAAAGAAGAAAAGAAAAAGAAAATAAATAAAGTGGAAAACAGACATTTTTACCGACATATATTTAAACAAATATAAGATAAGTAAATGTTAAAGGTATTAGAAGCAATTTCTATAAAGTTGATTGAATGCTGATTATCCGATATGTGAATTACGTTTTGCAAAAGAAGGCGTCTCTACCTCATGTTCGCGGAATTTGAACAGCATAATAGAACATAATGTCGTATGGAGTACTGCAGCTGAAATTGTGCAGCATTGCACTATTTGAGTAAATGTGTACACTGCATGCAAGAAACTTTTTTCGGAAAGAAAGTAAAAATAATGTGATTGTTTAAGTCATAAGCATCGTGTTCAAATTTCTCATGAATTCTATAATCATCTTGTGTGTATATATCTTTTTAAAAGCTGCTTATTTGTACAGAGCCAACTTGTCAATCACGCAAAGTTTGAAACGTGCCTTTAATTGTGAAATCTTTCTCGTTTTAGATTCCTTGACATTTTCATAACTGCCCAGTTTTAACCCGACAAATTCTGTATTACTTAAAACATTATTTTCTATGGATTACCTTAGAAAAATCCTTTGTTTACATTTGGATACGAACTGAATTTCCTGCCTTTCCTTCTCTCATGTAACACCGCACAACAATTCTCTACCTTGAGTGGGTCTTGGTCCTTGTATTCAGAGAACATTAGTAAAGAAAAAAAGTTCAAACGTTGTCATTCTGTAATCGCAGGAGATGAACTGAAGAAGAGAGGTTATTTGACTATTTTTCCTTCCAATACACACTAATACTTTCATCAATTAAAATTGTATTCTTCTTCTTCTATGTGCTGTGAACCATTATAACGTTGGGGATCATGACTCTCCACAATTTTCTGTCCTTTATAGACGTTAATATATTTTGTCTTTTTGTATATTTTTCCTAGATTTTTTTCTGTCACCTAAGCTCGCTATGTAGGCCATGAGTTGTTTTCCTCTGTCCCCCTTGCCTTAAATATGTCCTGCGCATATCAAACTTTCCAAGCCTTATTTCTTCCTTATTTGTTGTAGAAATTTCAATTGTCTCTTTATAATGTTAATTATAAGTGTCCTTTTAATTTCCATTTTCTCTAAAACTTCGTCATTGTTCAAATGGTCGACCCATGTTATCCTTCAGTAGACACACATTTTTCTTAGTTCAAATCTCTTAAACTGCGAGGTGATTGTCAAACTTTCACTGCTATATAGGAGTACTGTTAGTATGCAACATGACACTACTTTTTTCTTTGTTTCAAACGAATTTTTATCTATTTCATAATACTTCACTACTGGAAGTCATCTTTCACTCTCCCAGTTCGCCTTTGGATTTCACTGCAGACTTTCCGTCCTCTGTTAAAAGTTCTTCCGATATTTAAATTGTTGTACTTGTTTGATTTTTGTAACGCCAATTTTGTAATTTGAATGTTGCCCTTTTGCTAACAACCATGCATACTGTCTTCTTGCAATTAATATTTATTCCGCACTGTATACAACCGTGTGTAAATTAACAAAAACGAATAATTCCGTTACATTTTCGTATTTTTCCAATTAAACATGACCCAGTGTACATATTAGTACTTTGTATGTCCACGAAATCGTTCCTTGTAGATTGACTGCAGTTTCTTGATTGGATTTAAATCACGAGCGTTTCAGGGCCAATCTATAGTACATTGATTTGCTCAATGGCAAAGCTTGCCAGTGTGTTCGTGCATTGTTACAATTTTCGTACGCTTCCTTGGAGTAATGTCCAATGCAGACAATGGCCGTAGGACAACTAATCGACAGTCGAGACAATAGTGCCTGGGCGTGATAAAAATCTGATACAATCTCGGATGACGCAAAATTTTTCAAGGTTAAACACATTTCCTCATACACTGCGAAAATAGATTCATATTACTGCACACCGCTGCAAATGGCCTAATCTGAGGAAAAATAGAAATCGATTATATCCTGTCACTCCAGTGGGTCTAAAACTAGCTATATGGTAAAAGAAAGGATATTAAAGCCGTTGTTTCAATTAATTTGCACAAGAATCTTAATTATGTCCGGTGAGAAGACATGCTTGTTTTACACTCATTTCTATTATGCGTGTGGAAAATCTTTTTTGAAAATTTCATCTCTTGAAAATTTCGTCTTTGTTGGGAACTTCATCTTTATGGCACCTTTTATCTGTTTTTAGAGTTAGAGTGGAAAATATTTTTAAATAATAAAGGTGCTTGCGAGTTCATGCGTGTGTATGCCTTTGCTTGTAAAATATTTAAATATATTTTATACGTATCCGTATATGCCCACAAATTCATATAGATACATTCACCAATATGCACGTATAAGACCATCTGTGCAAATATATAGAGAAACATATAAACAGAAAGTTATGTTTATATATATATATATATATATATATATATATATATATATATATATATTGTTTATTGTGTACAAAAAATATAAAGTAAGATTACCAAAATTATATTCCCGACTTATCTTTTCTGAATCTAGATTTCATATAGTTGGTATCTGCTCCTCAGGGGTTGAGATTTAGAGCGGATACTAGTTATGTGAAATTCAGAATCGACAAGATAATTCTGAACATTTAATCTTATTTATTTGCTATGAATTTTCGATTTCTTAATTTCTTAATTTTCTTAATATTTTTTTTGCAAAGGCTGCTATTTTAAAAGCGTTATCGTCCAAAATATATTGTTTGACAGTTTTTATTTTTTGTGAAATAAAATCCTTCTTCTTCTTCTTCTTCTTCTTCTTCTTCTTCTTCTTCTTCTTCTTCTTCTTCTTCTTCTTCTTCAATACGTATGTAGATACGAATAGATATATATCCATATCATCCCCATACATCCCAAACTCCATATATATATATATATATATATATATATATATATATATATATATATATATATATATATATTATATATATATATATATATATATATTTATATATATATATATATATATATGAATATGAGCCTGATAAGTGTGTTTGTATGTGTTTTCGTGTATGCCACAATAATATGGGAAATTTATATTAATATGAGGCGTTTCCTCCTAAGGAAACATTTCGCATTATTTGATCGAAGAAACAGTATTATTCTTGAAATTTCTAAAATCATTCTCTGCAATCAGTTTTACATTAAATATATATTTCTCAAATCCAGTAGATCTTAGCACTCTTTCCAATATTGATTGGCGTTTCTTTCTTTATCTTCTGCTTGAAGTAGTGAGGAATTTCAATATGTTTATTATGTCATTATTGTCTCTTCGGATTACATGTGATATCTATTTTAGTTGTTGCTGCTATTGGTAGTCCTCAATAGAAGTAGTTTCTTTTATTCGGTCCAGTTCTTCGTGATACTGTAGTGACTGACCACAATGTTTGCAAACGGAAAGATCCACAGTTTATACGTATGTATAAAGTAAATAATTATATGTAAGTGATAATAGCACGTAAAAATGATAGTATGGGTAATTAATAAGTACTCTTATTATTACGGTTATTACTGACACTTTTGAAACTGTGATTACTGAGCTCCATATTAGCTTTCTTAATTTCAGATATGAACACTCATTCAAATGGCCAATATATATTTCCCTGAAATAAGCTAAGCAGGATATTCCGATTTTGACTTATATAAACTCACTTTTGAATATTACCAATTTTGTTCGTTTGAAGATGTACACAACTCGTTTTTTATTAATTTAAAATATAAATTCATATGTGCAATTCGGTAATGTATATGAGTTAAAGAAAAGTCTGTTTTATCTTGAAGTGGATGATTTCGGCCTATCCAAAAAACTTTCCCACTCTTTTTTTAAATTAAGATGTTTGATCATTTGGTCTGGTTTTATGAAGTGAGTTGGACAGACAACCATTCACCTCTTATGCGTTTACATCTAAATAGTTACCGTTTTATTTTTTATCCTTTAACTACAATGTTAAAACAATTTCTATACGTAAACAATAATGCAATACGAAGTTTTATCTACACTACAATTTATGTGAAATCTGACACAAATTTGACAACATTAATCTCAACGAGTCTTGTGAATGCTCATTCATCAAAATTGTTGATTTCTTTTAAAATGAGACTAAATATTCCTTTTCACAAATGAAAGAGATATCAAACAGTCAGTATTTTATTTCAACAATTTTAGAATCTGGATGCTCTTCAAATAAGACCTTCCTAGAATCGAAGCATATTACTTAGAGTCGGACTTGTCCGCAAGCCGTAAAAAAATCGTTTCGCAGGTTGCGAGTTGTACAGTAGAGTTAAAGGCGATAAGATCGTGTGAAACGTACCAGATAGACTTTAGATTCTACGGTGTCAACACCAAATCTGTTCTCGGCTTCACACAAGAAGAAATGAAAGCTAGGTGATAGGTTCCAGCTTTGCAGTACCAAATCCCCATTTCGGAGTTGCTGAAAAGAGAACGTAAATGTAATAAAAATAAATTTATCATCTTTATTTTCATAAGGAAAGATGCAAAAATAAAAATAAATGTTGGGGGAACAACAAAGAAATCAAGTTGCTTTGATTGTTATTATTTTGAAAAAAAATACGCAAATGTAATAAATATCAAAAAAAAAAAGAATTATAGTTTAGCCACGTCTCGTCTAGCGCGGCTCTGCAGATATATTTCGTACGTCTCGTCTAGTGCTTGTTCGCATTTATTCCGTTTTTAGTAGATGGTAGGATTTATTTTGATGAGGCACACACACAACAACGCACACACGCAAACACATTTTAATGGATACCCGTATTCTACTAGACGCTCCGTTGCTATATGTTACCTATCTACTCTTATTGGGAGCGAGAAAAATAAATTAAATAGTGAAACAATTTCAGAGTTCTGATAGAGACGTCAGAATAACAGAGTTGATGCAGACTTTAGAAGCAACCGGAATCCCTATACTAAACAGGGAACAAAGGCTAAATCTCTACTGTTGACATC